GCGAGGATGATTGGAGATTGGAATCGTGTTTTGAGTAATAAAAACTTCTGAATCAAAAATTGATGAGAAGGGGAACGATGTGTTAGAAATGACCTCTGTTTTGTTGAAATGACTTCTACGATTATGACTATGAAACTTGAATGAATAAGCGTCTTTTCATTGTCACCGCTTAAAAATTGCGATATTTGTTGTATTTATATTCTGATGACTTTGAATCGTTGGATATTTCTTTCGTTTGATTGTGAGCTTTTATCTTGATTTGTTTCAATTTTTGATTCGACGATTTTCTGTCATTTTTTCGTTTTTAATATACAAATCTGCTCAAAAGAATTATTCAGACGTATTTTATTAGTTAAAGAGCCATTTATGTATTCGTGTATTTATAAATATTCTTTTTTTTTCATTTCTGTTCCGCCTTGCAAAGGTTTTTACTCGTTTTGTTTGGGTTTTTATCATCGTAAGGGTAAAATTAGTCATTCCTATTAATTAATTTCTCTCATTTTTCTTGCTCTAGTATTTTCGCTGTTCTCTATTTTCATGTTCTTACTATTGTGATCATTGATATCGTTGCTGCTATTATCATTATGATTGTTATTATTGCGACTGATTTCTGATCATGTTATTAGCTTTTGTATCTGTACAAAAATGTCCCTTCCCTGTAGCCTCATGTGATGATAGATGAGAAGAAACTACACGTATGCGTGTATCATCTTTTCGGGAGTGAAAAGTTTTGGTGTTATTTTCGATGCATTTTCTTGATTATGGTCGCGCTGAGCCATCATGACAACAGATTTCTTCTCATTTGACAAAATATCCTTTATATGCTCATTGTTTTTCTGAAAACTCGCTGCTGTTTGCAATATGTGTATTTATTCACGAAAGAAGTTCCTTTCATTAGTGAATATTGCTTGCTATCGATATTTTAATTTATTTGTATAGAAATGAAATAAAGGAATTTTAATGTATCTCTTCGAATGATAATTTAGTCATTAAAAGTCAATAAAGGCATTCATTTGATCAGCCAATAATAATAATCACAATAGAAGTAATAATGAGTTGTCCCTGTCGTTATTTTCGTCTTCCTAGAGAGTAGTTCTCAAATTCGAGAGCTCCACTACCCCTTCCGATGGATAAAAACCGAAAATGGATAAAAATCTTAATGTAAATGAACAAAAGGCTTCCCGACACCTTTTCACTACCCAACCCCCTCCACCGACGCCCTCGAATTACCCAAAATGAGTAATTTCACCCCCTATGGGAACCCAGAGGATGTTTGTATTCTATAGGATCATGATGAAACTGAGAGCAGTGCTGATCACAAATAACCTTGTAGCACTAAATTAAAAAATGATAAATAGTAACGATAAGGTAATAAATAACAATGATAAGTTATCAATTAGCATAACCATAAATAAAAATTGCCAATAGTATCCAGTGAGATAATTTGTCTTTCAGGAGATGATGGAACACATCACCTACATTACCCGCACCAACTATCACTATCGACCACAGAGTCAATCTCAATGAGAACTTTAATAAACAATTCGATCTAACCATTATAAATGATCCTGTTAACTTCAACTGAACTGTTCAGCTGTTCAGCAAATCATACGAATTTCAACTGAACTCTTAAATTATTTACTGCAGTTAAAAATTAATCATGATTGGTTTAAATACATTGAAAGACTGAATTTATCTTGGTGAAACTGACGATTAGGACGTGTAAAAAACGTTGGTTAATTGATGAAGATTGTTGTTTTCATCAAATTTATCTATTCAATCGAAAACTATTTTAACAACTTTATCAATTCAATCGAAAATTCAAGTCGTCAACTGAAAACAGTTCAGCGGATAGATCGTTCAGGATATTGAATCTATTCGCGAAATAATTTGAAAATTTGCACAAAGAATCAAATGAAAATTTATATACTCATGTTATTATTCAAAAATGCGAAGTCAAGTCTATGGTGATATCTGAATAAATACTTCTATTCATTAATCTGTGTTGAATAATTTAGATCTGCTCATTAGTTACTGCATAGTACATCACTACTAAATCATATCCGTCGCAATCCACACTTTCCAAAGGTTCACAATCTCGCATTTCAGTACTTGCAGATTCAGCTTTCTATTGGCATGTTATCGGAGATTATTTGCAGAATCTCCAAGTAAATCCTCATATCATCGAGTCTATCTCTCGATTAATCACTAGCGATTGAAGCAGAGCGATGGAAAATGGTATTAGTGAGTATTATCTCGGAAAACGAATGCATAACAGATGTTAGTCTCTTTAAAAGGATAGTGTCAAATGACTGTTGAAGTTGTTCCAGTGAACTGGATGAATAAAACACAATTACTTGTATGGTATTTCAATGATGATTTCATGTGAACGGTAAAATTCTTGTTTAATCTATTAATTGCTAAAGGAACGAAGGACACCAAGGCGTGTCTTCTCATTTTCTGCTGATAGCAATCATTATCGGTATCGTTATTATCGCTGTCAGTATCATATTTGTATTATTCTTGTTATTATTGGTATCATTATTAATATTATTCTTATTATTATCGTTAATATTAATATTATTGTTATTGTTATCGTTATTATTGCTACTACTATTGTTATTTTTATTGTTAATGTCATTGCATTTCAACATGTCAACCGACAGGTAAGGTTGGTAGGCGACTGTGATCTTACACACGATTATATTCTATTGTTACTAATAGTACTACGTACCTGTTTAGGACCCTCAACAAGTTTTCGTTTATTTCATGTTGAATGAACACACTTAGTTGCTCTAGGTACAGTCTGTGACATTTGTGAGTGGATTACGATTAACGTGCAGGTGCGCACTTCATAACTGTACCAATAGATCTATTAACTTCTTAATATTCTTTTGAAAGTGATCGAAAGTTTCTGCACGTGCCATTTTTATTCAATGTTATTCCAACTGATCTGCAGGCGATATTACTACTATCGAAGTTTCTGAAAGAATTTCATAAGAAGGCCAGAACTGTTGCTTCATTTAACCAGAATTGACTCCAAATAGGGTATCAACTTGGAAAACAAAAACTTCTCTTACAATAAGTTTAAATGAGATCGGTGATGATCATTATTGATCGGTTTGAGAAGGGTTTGATTCCGATCAAGTGCCGATTGATCTGTGATGTATCTGTCTGCGACAAAGTTCCGCTGATCTTATCAGACTGATTTGTTTGATTGATTTATTGCGAGGACGATTGATTTGAAGGTGATAACGTCTCAAACGTGCTCATTCACCATCATTTATACATTTACATGATGAAAACATTGCTTGAAATAACTTATTATTGATCATTAACTCAAATTATTCCACTTAAGATCCTGAAGAGGCTGCTCTCTATCGTAAAAAATTCTCATTAAAATTAAACAATTTGTTCGTTCGTTCTTCTCACAAACGAAAATTAAGACGAGTATTTGAAAACTGCCAAAGAGATTTTTGAAAATAAACTCTCAAATGAAATTTCATGGCGATGAAAACGCTATGAATCGTAAACAATACTTGAAATCGGTTTTTTTTTTGCAAAATTTCATCAATTTCTCAAAATTGTTCATTCATTTTGCCGAAGTTGTCAATTCATAAAGCAATCATCAGATTGCATTCAACTGAATAACATCGCGTGAACAAGTGTGCAAAGTTTAGTCAACCCACCACATAACGCTACGATTATTGCTTTTCATTTCTTAACCCAACTGGATTCTTCTCATCGTTCACATGTCGCCAGTTCACAAGTCGCTCCGCTCCGTCCAGTGCAAATAATTTTGTGCGATTGTTTTAAAATTTAGCTGTATAGAATCATCAATAAAAATTGCTAAAATTTTAGAATCATAAATAAAAATCGCTAAAATTTTAGAATCATAAATAAAAATTGTTAAAATTTTAGAATCATAAATAAAAATTGCTAAAATTTAGAATCATAACTAAAATTGCTAAAATTTCCCAATGAGGTCATTTGTCTTCCATGGGATGATGAAACACCTTGGTGTCCTTTCTTCCTTTAACAATTAATAGATAATAGTTAGACAAAAATTTCATTGTTCACTTGAAAGTTAGTAGAATCATTAAAAAATCGCTAAAATTTCCCAGTGAGGTAATTTGTCTTTCATGGGTGAGATGAAAAACCTTTGTTTTGAAATGATAAAATTTTGCAAAAATGTTTACTGGGTTATTGAAAAACGTGCGTGTTTGAAGTCAACCTGAATCGAATCTAATGAATCGGTAGAACGATCACAAAGAATTGAAGAAGAAAGCGCTTGATTGGCTTAACTATTCGAGACGAATTGAGCGAAAAACATGTTGAATTCGACGGCTGAATAATGAACCCGATTCATAAGTGCATATAACAACATTGAATCACTCTAAATTAATCAAGCAATCTGCTTTGTCGCTTCAATCGAATCAATCAAAGATTCGCTGCGCGTTCCTCCGTTTTATAATCCAACTATATTAGTGCCCAATTTACCTAATAAGAATTATTGCCCACTTGAGCATCAGTCAAATCTGTTTAGTTCTGCACTCTGCGAACGATTTTTCACGCCGTAAAGAGTGAACTGAAGTGATTAAGTTTAAGTGTGATTAAGCTTCTGTTTCCTATCACAAGTAGATCAGCAAACATTTTCTGCTTAATTCGATGATTTGATCACTGAATAGTTGATCACTGCATGCACTCGCACGAGAGATTTATCCCCTCTTAAGTACGTCACATTGCAAATATCCATCAATATCCGATCTAATCTCCTCACTCTGATTCCCCAATCGACTCATTTGCCCGTTAGAAGCGATTACAAAAAATAATCGCTCTCGGTCTTTTCTTTTTTACTTATCTACTTTGATGTTCTTGCGCAATTCATTTCGGATTAATAAGTCAGAATCAATAAACCTCAATTAAGGATTATCAGCATAAATATTAATAAAATCATCATTCGGTGATTTCAGTTCGAAGTTCGAAGGTGTGCACGCGAAATGTCGTTGGTAATCGAACGTGCCCGGAGTGCTGCAAACGCACTGGTTGTCGTCGGTGGCATAAGTGTTATGAACGGCTTCCTGGCTGGCTGCATTCAAGCCGAAAAGTCTTACACCATGCAACACTACACCAATACGCACTGGATTACGACCGTGTCAATATTCGCGGCTCTGTCGGCCACATTCCTGCGTTCATTCACCACTCTGTCGCATTCGTTGATTCTGATGATCACAACGAATCTGTTTGCGATCACCGTGGCAGCTGCAGCGGCCATCGCTGATGCCTTCAATGTGCTCATCGTTCTGAGAGATTTTCAAGCGATTTTAGCCAATGTCTACTTCTCAAAGATACAAGTAAGCGTATAACTTCAATCATTTACACCATTCAAATACCGTTTGTTATTACTGTCAATTAGAGCTGATCATTCAAATTCAAGATTGTAACTATTCAGTGATCAAATGATCGAATTAAACTTGTGATCACACAAACTTAATCGCTTTAATTCACTCTTTACGGCGTGAAAAGTCGTTAGCAGAGTGCAGAACTGAATAAATTCGACGAATGCTCAAGTGGGCAATAATTCTTAATAGGTAAATTGGGCACTAATATAGTTGGATTATAAATAATCTTGAACTTGTATGTATCCGATCGAAATGTTGTGAGCTCGGAACTTTTTTGGTGAAAGCTTAGGCTTTTATGGACTACATGAGACGATCATATTTGTAGCCAATAGATCAAAAGTTTTGAATGAATAAAGTTATTCGCAGAAGCCAAATTTCTTTTCGAAAGAATGGTGTGTTGTGAGCAGAATTTTATTAGTCAGTAATTCATTCATTTGGAATCGGAATTAATTTTACTCAAATTCTTCAATCAGCTATTGAAACGTGTTCCAGTTCGATGCATATTTTAATGATTTCCTTTTTTTATTTGTCGTTAATTCTTTCATTCCAAGTGCAATTCGCTAGTTTGTTTCATTGATATGTTCAGTATAATACACCTCACTTCACTTAATCACTTGAGGCATTCAGAAAGCAGCAAATCAAAATGACAATAAAGTCATTAGTTATTAATATAGAATTTGCGTCTTTTTTCGAATTGCATTCAGAGTTTTTTCTTACTTCATCATTCTCATTTCATTTGCTATTCATTTCAATTCGATTGAATTGATCAAAACCACTGTCAAAATCGAAAGAATTGGAATTTCAAATATGATGAATGAAACCATCAAGTGGAAAAAATCATTCCGCTCAAAAAGGGACGGAAACAAGAAATAGCAATGAAGTCTCTGTTTTAACATCAAATCGCAGTGTCGACTACACATCTTTTAATAGGTGGAAAGCGAAATGCAGAAAGGTCTTGCGCTATGAATTAACGTGAAAATTTTGACACTGAAAGTGAAATCATTTCAAAGGAGTTGATATAAGTAGATAGAAAATGCTGAGAGAAGATCTGACACTGAGTTTAATCGTTCAATTGAGAGAATGATGATGATATCATATGAGTGACTGAATGAATTTGATGTGCTGAAAAGCAATAGTAATTGGAAGTACTTAATTTTGGCTACCTTTTTGTATTTTCGTCCGTCAGCCTTTTCAATAATCTGAAAGTGTTCTCTACTTTACAAAAACAGGTTTTTGAAATTTTGATGATTGATCGATTGGCCGTCGATTTCTCTCTGTGTGTGCGGGTGTCTTTTCGAATGCATGCATTAATATAATGTCAAGTAGAATTTAACATTCCATATGAGCATACATAAAATAAATTTAAGAATACATCAAAACGCATTCGCTTCAGACGAAATTCAACATTTATGAAAATAATATGAAATGTGAATTCATAAATTTCGATAGAATTGTGTTAGTCATGAATAGGATCATACACATCTGAGTATGTGTCGGCATGGATCTGTTTTAGTGGTCAGTTAAAGTTTCACAGAATTTCCAAAAAAATTCCTTCGAATTCACTGAAAATGAAATATTGCACTAAGAACTAAAAACTGAAACAAGGTAACGATCGTATAACGGCTTGGATAGTGCTTGAGCGGGTCTATCTACATAGAACAGTTGATGTTCTAAATGTTCTAAAACTTAGTTATTGCTGATGTACTTGAGGTGATTTGATATACTTCTCCAAAAATGATGCAAACACTTTCTGTGAACTCTTCTACCTGACTAGCTTATGTCTGGGAACATATTACTTGGATCAACTGGATTGGCCAGGCTATTAAACCTTCATAATGTCGTTGGCCATAATGCGCTTTCGTTTGGGGCGCTCCACCTTGTTTTCCTTTGTCAATTCTTTTCAGGTTCACTTTCTATCTCATTGTTCTATCTTTTTGAAGACCTCCAGAGTGATCATTTCTGTTATCTGTAGGAAATATAAATTTGTGCGTATGATGTAAACAATACAAATCATTTTGCTACACATTTTGTGAATATGCAAATTAGACACGATAATAAGTGATACATGATGATGTGAATGACCAGAACATGGATTTTTCAGTATTGTGTAGAGTTGACCTGTCCACTTCAATATCATGTGGATATGCTGATGATTTGTTGAATTGAAGGGGATGAATGTAATTGAAATGTAAATAAACTTCAATGCGCAATTGATACAATAACAACCTACCTCATTCAGCAAGTTAACGACACATTTCGATAATGTGAATAAATAAGCACATAAACAAACAAAGAGCCAAATGCATACCCAGGTATCTGTATGAAGAGGAGAATGAGGCGTGAAAGGGGGATTCCAGCGAAAAATCGCCACACTCCACGGAAACTTTGGAGTTTGGTCGTAAATCTGAGAGAACCTGCAAGTTTCTGTCAATGTTCGGTAGTTCAAAACTGACAGATCTGAGGATTTCAAAAGAATATAAAATCGAATTTTCAGGTTTACGGTATGATTGGCTACAGTATGCTTGATTTCTTGTTGTGTTGCATTACGGTAGTGTTGATAGCAACGATCCTGGGTGCGTGCATCGGCGGCATTATTGAGACGAGAATCCAACTGCGTTCATCGTGGATGCTTTCACTGGGCATTTCACTGATCGTTGTTTCGGTGCTGAAACTATTCGCATGGCTATACGAATTGCACTGGATTCGCAAATTTGGTGACCTGATACGGTAATTGTATTTGCCTCTCTGCCCGGATTGGTCGATTTTTACCCAAGGAATCTCGAGAATGAGCGTCGAGATTATTTGAAATGTCTGCATCAAAAAGTCCCCATCAAAAATGTTCGAATTTGGCATCAAAAATTCCGGAACCCTTAATTTCATATCACAAAAATTCTTCCAAGAAAATAAATGATCTACACTGTGATCTTCGTTGATCCAAATGATCTTCTAAAAATTCATCCCAGCCGAGTCAACAGTTCTTCCCCATCAACTCTTTAATGAATCTTCACAATGCTTGATGTTTCACAAACATTAGTGGAACTTAACAATGATAGTGGAATTAGATATGGACTTGAATTAAGGCGAAAACAGCAAAGAGTGCGATAAAATCACGCTGGTATAACAGTGATTAACTGAACTCATAATTGAATATTTTGCAGGTACACCTTTTTGCATTATACAGTTGATGAACCAATATGGATTGCAATTAACCTCATGACAGGTTCCTTGATCATGTTTTTGCGATTTCTTTGCCGTTATTACATGATTCTTAATTTGATTTCGAGTGAGGAGCTGTTTGATGAAATTTTATGCCACAGCAGGCCAACAGCTATTAATTTCAAGTGAGGATTGGCTCGCCAATATATAAATCAGTATAAGTGGGAGAATCAATGTATAAGGGCGAGAAAATTCTGCTTTCTGTTTTAAATATGTAGAATCTCATCTGAAAAGGTTTCTCAGATTTAGAATCCTACCTGAGAATATCTTCAATGCCTTTATTGCTCGTGGCAACGAAACTGAATTCAGTCACAAATTTTTTGATCCTATCTATCAGTTTCAGGTATCTTCTGTACGTTGGGTTCTCAAGGCGGTACACTGATCAGGACTGTATCGTTTTGCCTCAGCTCGCTGAGCATACATTCGACTGTAATGTCTATTTGGACCGACTATCGATGGTTTTCGAATGCTGTTTTGGGTTCCAAAACTTATGTAATACACTTCGGAATTGATCATTTTCAATTGCTTGCAGCATTCAAAATTGTTTATGAACTATACTCTTAGATGATGATGTTTTGAGTTTATGCACAAAAATTTTAACTCTGATTTTATGATTTGCATACGCTGATAACGGTATATCCTTTACAATGATGCTTTCCAGGTGGCTGGTATGAGCTCCGTTGAGCACTCACCTGGTACGTTGTTGTTCTTCAATTTATCACTTGGCGTTGCTCATGCAATCATACTTATCAGCCTA